TGCAGATTTGTTGGCTGCACATTCATGATGTGAATCACCCATTCCACCACATCCCAAAGGTGTTCTATTGGATTGAGCTCTGGTGACTGTGGAGGCCATTTGAGTACAGTGAACTCATTGTCATGTTCAAGAAACCAGTCTGAGATGATTCGTGCTTTATGACATGGTGTGATATCCTGCTGGACGTAGCCATCAGAACATGGGTGCACTGTGGTCATAAAGGGATGGACATGGCATGCAACAATACTTAGGTAGACTGTCGCATTGACACTATGCTCAATTGGTACTAATGTGCCCAAAGTGTGCCAAGAAAATATCCCCCACACCATTACACCACCACCACCAGCCCAGCCTGAACTGTTGACACAAGGCGAGATGGATCCATCCTTTCATGTTGTTGATGCCAAATTCTGAGCCTACCATCCAAATGGTGCAGCAGAAATCAAGACTCATCACTTCAGGCAACATTTTTCCAATCTTCTATTGTATAATTTGGGTGAGCCTGTGCGAATTGTAGCCTCATTTCCCTGTTCTTAGCTGACATGAGTGGCACCCGGTGTGGGCTTCTGCTGCTGTAGCCCATCAGCTTCAAGGTTGGACGTGTTGTGCATTCAGAGATGCTCTTCTGCATACCTGGGTTGTAACGAGTGGTTATTTAAGTTGCTGTTGCCCTTCTATCCGCTGAAACCAGTTTAGCCATTCTCCTCTGACCTCTGGCATCAACAAGGCATTTGCACACACAGAGCTGCCATTCACTGGATATTTTCTCTTTTTTTCGGACCATTCTCTGTAAACCCTTATAATGGTTGTGTGAAAATCCCAGTAGATCAGCAGATTCTGAAATACTCAGACCAGCCAGTTTGGCACCAACAACCATTCCACATTCAAAGTAATTTTAATTACCTTTCTTCCCCATTGTAATGCTTGGTTTGAAGATTATCTTCATCATGTCTACAATGCACTGAGTTGCTGCCATGTGATTGGCTGATTCAAAATTTGCTTTAACGAGCAGTAGGACATATTAAAAGTGGCCGGTTATTATATATGTACCGTATATTTGTGTGTTTGTATATAAACATAATAAATATATGATACACTGATATATTATGTTAAAACAAACTTTTATTTTGTATGGAATTAAATGCAAAGGATCTTTTGCAATTCTAATAATAATTCTAGCTAAAGATGTCTTTTGGCGTACTTTACTTTGTTTGACTCTCTAATTGGTGGAGTTTTCTGTACAGTACCATTACTAATGTAATTTATCTGCATGAATGCTATTATTAAACTCAACTCAATTAATGTGAGCAGATGGGTTTAACAAAGGCATGTACAACCCCACAACTCACAACAGGTCTTTTTTAAATTTATTTATCAGTTATTGTTCATTGTAGATTTATTTTGCTGCTAAAAACAATGAATATAGTTAGCATTTGCTCTTTATTGTTGTGGACAGTGTCAGGTCTTGGTCTCAGAAATGTTAAGATTGACTGCTTTGGTCCTTACGGGCCAAAACAGACACTGACTGTGACGCTTAGATGTTTGTAGGGAGACCACTGTGGGTCCTGCACTTCACCAGAAAGCAGGGATGACATTTTAAAACGTTCCTGACAGTTTGGTCCATAGAGAACCAGGTTGGTGAGTATGACTTGCAGGCATGTCATGCAGGTATGAAATTTCAAAAACCGCTGGATTGCTATTGGCAGCTCTATTTGTGTGTGAGTGCTACACTACAGAGAGCAGTTTGAAGCTTCCAACCAGCCCTCTTCATTCCCATCAATGTTTCTTCATCAGAGTTCTGTTAGCATGTTTTACAGGTGATTAAAGCATTTTATTTACTCACATTATACACAACCTGGTGCACATAAGCACCTAAAGACGTGTGATTTTGAGTTGTCATTTGGCAGACATGAGGACATATTGTCCTCTGTCTTTGTAATTAGCATTAACCTTATTTATTAAGCAGACTATATTATCAAAAGCAGCTTACAGTGTAGAAGAATACAAGCAGAAGGGATTAATCCAATGGAGAACGCACTGTGCTAATAAGCACTCCTACCATATTAAATTCCCATATCAGAAGTGTAAAGGCCTGTTCACATCAAAGATGTCAACTGTAACAAAAATGAAGAAAATGTATTTCCTATCATGGGATAGATAAATACATTTTAAATAAGCTGAACAATATTGTCCACTAGTGTGAAATCTGATCTAGTTGTTGTTATAAATTCCTCAACCACTTTATGAGGTACACCCTACAAGTACTGGATTGGTACTGTAATACCTTTTTGACTTCAGAACGGCCTTAATTCTTTGTGCCATTGGTTCAACAAGGTGCTTAAAATATTCCTCTGAGGTTTTGGTTCATATTGTAATAGAGTTTGAAAAAAATATGTTTATGTATTACCATTTATAATAGTTACCATTTAAGGAAAGTAATGTGAAATTTGGTGTCATGTTATCTTTGCGCTTTTTTACACTTATCGGGATTACTTTTTTATCCAACACAGAGAATACAGTTGCTGCAGAGTCTTTTGTTCATAATCATAATCATCACAAAGGATAAGTTTCCGATGATTTGAGCTTTGTGACATGGTGCGGAAGTAGCCTTCACAAGATGAGTTTACTATATAGTCATAAAGGGATGCACATGGTCAGCTCATGTAGGATGTGGGGTTATCCTGACCTGTTGATGCAAGGCATTATGGATGCATGCTTTCATGTTGTTTAGTCTCAGTTTGCTGTTTTAGTTGACAGAAGTGTCAGTGTGCTCTTCTGCTGCTGTAGCTCATCTGTTTCAAGGTTTGATGTGTGTTCAGAAAGGCTTTCTAGAAGTTCTTGGTTGTATTCAGAAGTTATTTGAGCTACTTCATTTATGTCAGCTTGAATTAATTTTTCCATTCTCTGATCTCTGATGTGAGCCAGGTGTTTTTACAAACAAATCTGCTCCTCACTGGATGTTTTCTCATTTTACACCATTCACTGTAAACCCTACACTGGCTGTGCAATAAAATTCCAGTGGATCTGTGTTTTCTGTGTTTCAACAACCATGCCATATTTAAAGTCATTTCAATCACCTTTCTTTGCCAATCTGATACAGGGTTTGAATTCAGCAGGTTGTCTGAATTACGCCTAAATACATAAATGCATCAAGTTGCTGCTATGTGATTGGCTGAATAGATATTTGTGTCAACAAATAGTTGAAAAGACTTACTGAATACAAAAAGCCAGCGAGTGTAGTTATTTTTATGTTAGCATTCTTTGTGTAAATTGACCTGAACAGTGCAGAAAGGCCTTTACTGGAAGATATCTCCTCATCTTTTTTTATTTCACCTTTTGGGTTAAAGTTCATTCCATCAAATGGTGAGAAAGTGACCTTGAAGAACATTCTGATTGTACGCCAGGTATTGCCAGTTCAGACAATCAAATTAAGCACAAAACATTGATTCAGCCGTGCTCCGCTGAGCACTGACCTCAATAACTTGTTGACCACAGGGACCAAATCGTATATGATCAAGATAAAAATAACAAAAACATTGATCTACGTCTGTCCACAACTGCCGTACAGTAATTGTAAACAAGCAAGATCTCTGCATATAGCTTTAGTATGTACTGTACATGTGTAGGTGTGTACATGTAAGAGAAATAAAGATGTGGCAGGTGCTGGAGGCATGTGCTGATGAGATACGATGAGTATAAAAGAATGGACAATAATCTCTGGGACTGACTAGAATGTAGAAAAACCCCAGTTGTATAAGCTGCGGGCTTTTCAAGTGAATGAATGCATGCATTCACATGAACGCATATACTGAATGGCTTTCCGTTTTCCTATTCATTCTGAAGCTGCAATATCATAACACCCCTGCCATTTGTCCGAGAACACATACTGCATGCAAATATATCTCAAAAAATAGGTGGGGCTTACAAGGAAATATTCACAGTAGGCTTTGGGCTCTCATTTCCATATCCTAGTCCTTTAAGTGGTAAAAATTCATTTTTTTCAAGGCCTCGGGATTAAGGGAGAACAAACTCCTGATTATATATTCAGCACTAATAATGCTCCCCCATCCAACATCACCATCACCATATCCCCCAGCAATGAAGGGGAGGAGGTGTAAAAAAAAAACAACAACACTGAAGGAGTGAGAGCAGAGAAATAAGGACTAGTGAGGAAGAATAGAACGTGAAGAGGAGGATTCAGGAGGGAGGAGTTTGACAGATGGTTGGGTTTGCTTCATGTTAATGAGCACCCAGAGATGGCGAGTACATATGGTTTGTTTTCTACCTCGGCTTTATTCATACCAGTTACATCATTTACTTTGGAAACAAGGTTATACTGATGTGACATTGTTCTTGAGAACTTTTAGGAAGCACTAGGGTAGGGGATGTACACATATTGCAAATCTGGCTGAAATGGCTAAGACCTTTATAGTTTTTTGAGTATGTTTTGTCGAAATAAATGAAAAATAAAACCATTAGTGTGCACACAATAGTATAAAATACTGTATAAAGTATAAAATAATTGTAAAATATACTATAACATATCTTTCCAGTGTTCAAATCTTTCACATTGTTTGACAAACTTTGACAAACACAAACTAATAAAAATGTATGCTGTTATTATCTTGGAATTAACTTGTTATATCACAATATTTATGGGGTTTGATAAAAGCTGGGGAAAAGATTTAGACTTTTAATAGATTCTGGGATTTATGGGTTTTAACTGCAGACTGTCAGCTTTAACTTGAGATACAGTATTTACATCCAAAATCAGGTGAACAGTGTAGGAATTACAACAGTTTGCATATGTGCTTCCCACTTGTTAAGGGATCAAAAGTAATGGCACAATTGGCATCTCAGCTGTTCAAATCGATTGCAGTAAAGAGCCAAAAATGTTAAAATTGTGTCAATCCCAATTTTTATGGACCTGACTGTATATATGTGTATATGTATATATTGATGATTTAAGAATATTGATCTTCTCTTCTCTTCTCTTCCAGTACTCTGACCATCTATGGAGTGACCCAGGAGGATGAGGCCATATATCAGTGTATAGCAGAGAATAGTGCGGGGTCCACGCAGGCCAGTGCTCGACTGACCGTTCTGTGGGCTGATGGGTTGCCAGGCATGCCCACAGACATACAAGCAGATGCCCTTTCTCCCACCTCCATTCAGGTCACCTGGAAAGAGCCTACCCAAAACACTCAGGACATAATTGGATATGTGCTCCATATCCGCAAGACTGCTGGTAGGAAAACTGCTTATGAGCCAAAACACAAACACTCAAATCTAATTTACTCAGCTCTTCTGTTCTGTATTGCCGAATGTACACCCCTCTCCAGTAAATCAATAAGTGTAGATTTCCACAAACATTGTGAAATGCATATCTTATTCAATCTTCCCTTTAGGCTTTCTTTTTACGAAAATCATTGAGGTTTAAAGTCAGTAGCAAATCACTTTTTTTTTCTCTTGCCACCAACTGTAGCTTAAATTTATAGAAACAATTGACAATTTCTGAATCTGCTTAAATAGAAGTTTAACCAAAAGTTTAATGTCAAAAATGCTGAACTCAAAAGAAGATGTTAAACACCTATCAACTTTTTGCTATATATATATATATATATATATATATATTTTTTTTTTTTTTTTTTTGATGTACTATTCTTTTCAGATTTTTTTTTCTTCCAATTTAATCAATCTTAATAGTATAATGTTCAATGAATTCAGACATCGCACTATCATAGATACTGTACCATGCCTGAAATTTAAATATTTAAGCGATATTCTCATCTACACTCGAAATCTTCTAGAGTTCCATGCAAACATCAATGTTTATTTTTAATCAGCAACGTGAACTGGATCTGTCCATTCTATAAAACGTAATTAACATTAATTGGTGCATATTCAGTTTGACTGGGTTAATTTCTATTTTATTCAGACTGAGCTCAAACTTACAACCAAAATGCATAGAAATACTTTGCAGTGTTGAAGGTTGAGACATCAGCCTGAAGCATTTTCCTGAAAGCACAGCATGAGGATGCGTGTGTATTCTGATATCAATCCTCCTCTCTCGGGAAGCTTTAAAGTTGCATGTTGATGTTTATCGATGCCGAAGCTAAACAACTGATCTACGACCCATGCTGAAGTGCCCATGCAAAGAGTTCTTTGCTGAGCATTCTATTTTTTTTTCTTCCTCTTGCTGTGGTGTTTCCACCACTTTTAGCCTGTGCTGTAATTTATATTTCAGATATAGCATCTATAGCATCTCATCTGCTGCAATCTCAATGCCTTACAGCGCTGTGGGTTATGTTTTTATAGTTTGAGCCATTTATTATGTATATGGTTACTTAAAGCAATTTGGCATGAATAAGTAATGGAGAAATATAACTTTTACTGCTTCCATAAATGTGACTAAAGAGAGCCGCCAACAGTAAGAGGTGGCAATTGTTGCACATAAAAGGGACAGTTCCCCCCAAATGAAAATGTATTTTCCATTTTTCACCCTCAAATAGTTCTAAACCTTTATGGGTCGTTTTTTTACATAAGAGAAGATATTTTAAGTATGTTGGAAACGAGTAGCCATCTACATCCGTAGTACTTTTTTTCAAATAGGGTTTTATAATGAATTGATCATATAATTATGGTTAATAGTGATCAGCATTAAGCTTTATTAAATAGGCACAAAAGTGCCATGGAATAGTCCCGTGCAACACATGCCCTACACTGTAAATAATACAGGGTTCCACACAATTTTTTTGTTGTCCCAACACAAATCCATCAAGTTAACTTAATCATTTTTACAAATTTAAGTGGATTGAACATTAAACAATTAGGTTGCCTGGTTAGGTTAGGTTAGGTTGCCCCCCCCCAAAAAAAAACTTAAGAATTGTGTTGGTTCAGCTAATTTTTATTACGTAGCTTGAACAAGCAGCAAAAGCAATGTTTTGAATGCACACACTAAGGGCTCTATTATAACGATGTAGGCGCAAAGTCTAAAGCGCATGATGCAAAATCATTAAGGGCATGTCTGAATTCACATACATTTGCTATTTACATGGCGGACTTTGTAAGTGGAAAAACTGAACGTTTCACTAGCAAGAAAACGGTTAAACAATTCATCTGCAGCACGAGGATGAAGAACGAGCCTTCTCTATTCAGCCTCTTTACTTTCTCTTTCTCTTTACTTTTACTCTTTACACCTTTACTTTCGTGGATGAGGAAAAGGTGAGGAGCCTATATATTTAATTTTGTTTAAGAGCAAAGATTTGTTTTAAAACTATTTCTAAATTCAGTTCTAATTTTCAGCAAACAAATAAAAAAACAATAATAATAAAGTGTGTTCAAAAAATGATGCATACGTCTGCAAAACCCGACAAGTGGACAAATATAAACTTGTTTTTATAAAAAAAAATATGCATATAATGAACTATGCTGCTAATATTAATAACATTATACAAATGCAAATTGTCATAAATAAACTGAAAAAGCCCCCTGAGAAAAGGCATTGAGGCAGTGGCTTTTATATTTATGCGGAAAATAATAATTTTTGTAACATTTTAATCCTTTAATTTTCTTCATATGTAAAGATATTTGTGTATTGCTGTACATGCTGTCTGTATTAAGCAATGTAAATGCGTTTAAACTAACGCACTTTGCGCTGGTCTTTAGACCATGTCTTAGTTGGTCAGCAGCGCAGTCTATTTCAGAGTTTCCATGAGTCCGTAAAATGTCACAAATGGATTTGCTATTTAAATAACGTGTTGCAAAATGTGAAAATTAGGGTTGCGCTGGTCTGAAAATAGCAACAAACTGCAACAAACACGTCTTGCACCTTATTGTGCGTTGTGCAAGATAGGGCCCTAAGTGTGCTATTGTAATAAACATACAACATCAAAGCAACATTTTAAGATAACCTGTTCTTCTAGTTTTACTCTCACACTAATGATTTCCCTCTCTTGCACCATCCTTCTCCATCTTGTTTTTCTCTCATAACGTTTCTCTTCATCTCTCTTTCCTTCATTTCAACCTTCACTCTTTGCTCTCAGACCCAGTGGAAATGGAGTACCAGGAGGCTGTGAGTAAAATGACCCTGCAGCAGGTAATTGGAGATCTGGAGCCTTCCACCAGCTACAGCTTCTATGTGAAGGCCTACACGTCCCGCGGAGCCAGCAAAGCCTCTGAGACCACTGTGGAGAGCACTCTGGGAGAAGGTATGTGAAAAAACATATTTAAGCGATCATGCAGTAAGAAGCTTGTTTTATTGCATAATTGTCTAATTCCTAGTTGTTTAAGTTATTAACTGTGCTAGCGGTAGCCAAATGAAAAACACATTCTCACTTAAACCTTTTACACTTTCTTTTTTTTACCCACCTTTCAGTTTTGAAACTTTTTTCTGTGTTTTAGTCTAGTGTAAAGAAGACTCCTAAAGTGTTTTAGGTGTTTCTTTTGTCACTTTATCAGTTTGTGCCTGTACATTTTAATTATAATATGTATTTTAAAGTCTTATGTATTTTATGTGTTTTCATCTCAAAATGGACACTGGGAAACATTTATCTCCTTCAGCAGCTCTTACACACACACCAAAAATCAGTATTCTGAAAATTGTATTACAATTTTTAGTTTAGAATTGAAGTCAGAATTATTAGCCCTCCTGAATTATTAAACCACTTCAAAGCTTTACTAGAATTATTAGAAAAGTTAGGATAAATAGGCAAATCATTGTATAATGATGGTTTGTTATGTAATTGAAAATATCTATATTGCTTAAGCTGGCTTATAATATTGATCTTAAAATGGTTTTAAAACAATTAAAAAAGTTTTTTTGCAGCCGAAATAAAACAAATAAGACTTTATATAGAAGAAAAAATATTCTAGGAAATTACTGTGAAAAATTCCTTGCTCTGTTAAATGTAATTTGGGTAATATTTGAAAAAGAATAAAATAATAAACAGGAGCACTAATAATTTTGGCTTCAACTGTACATCCTCAACCATAAATTTCATAAACAGACACTTTAGAGAACCTATTTTACCCCCCAAAAGTGTGTTAGCCTTATTGTAATTAATCAACTGGGTAAGTATGGTGACAACTATTAGGTTAATTTTATTTTACCCTATTCACATGTGGTGTTTTGTATTAATAAAGCATTTCCCCGAGAGGTGTTTCTGTCATGGCATAATGTTTAATTCAAGGTCATTCAGGGTGAAATTTCCACCTGTTTTATTTTCTCCTACTGATGAAATGCATTACGCCTGATCATCTGTGTTTTGCAATTCTTACAGTCCCTGCTCCACCAGCCTTGTTCACCAAGGTGATTAATTTGACGGTGATTCAGGCCACATGGGAGGCCTCCACTAAGATGGGCCAGCAGGAAGGATTCAATCTCTACTATCGTAAGGTCCCCGTCCCTCAATTCACAGGACCCCTCACCTTCCCACGAGATGTGATGCAATACAACATCACTCAACTAGGTATCTGGCCACAGTTGGGCTTTATTCATGAAATATGAGCAGAATGGTTTTTGTGTGAAAAATTTTTGTTATAATCATTAGTAAAATCCCCAAAAATCCAAAGTATTAAATATTATATGCAATGTGATAGTTAATGTATTAGGTTTTTTCGAAGAATTGATGATGATTATTAATATAAATAAAAAATTATTACTATTATTATTATTTGTTGATTTATTTATTTATTGATTTATGTATTTACATTTATGTATCATTAATTATTAATGAATATATATTATTAATACTAATTAAAGCACTGTTTAAATATATACAAATGCACTTACTGGCCACTTTATTAGGTATACTTTACTAGTACCTAGTTGAACCCCTTTTTGGCAGAACAGCCTTAATCCTTAATGGCATAGATTCAACAAGGTACTGGAAATATTCTTCAGAGATTTTGGTCCATATTGACATGACAACATCACGCAGCTGCTGCAAATTTATTTACTGCACAACCATGATGCGAATCTCCCGTTCCACCACATCCCAAAGGTGCTCTATTGGATTGAGATCTGGTGACTGTGGAGGCATTTGAGTACAGTGAACTCATTGTCATGTTTAAGAAACCAGAACCAGTGAAATGATTTGCACTTTATGAGCGTGTTATCATGCTGGAAGTAGCCATCAGAAAATGGGTACACTATGGTCATAAAGGGATGGACATGGTCAGCAAAAATACTTGGATAGGCTGTGGCTGTGTGCCAAGAAAGTATCCCCCACACCATTACGCCACCACCATCAGCCTGAACCATTGATAAAAGGCAGGATATATTTATGCTTTCATGTTGTTGACGCCACATCCTGAGCCTACCATTTGAATATTGCAGCAGAAATCGAGACTCAGACGAGGCAACGTTTTTTCAATCTTCTATTGTCCAATTTTGGTGAGCCTGTGTGAATTGTAGCCTCAGTTTCCTGTTCTCAGCTGACATGAGTCGCACCTGGTGTGGTCTTCTGCTGCTGTAGCCCATTTGCCTCAAGATTTAATGTATTGTTGTGTGTTCAGAGCTGCTCTTCTGCAGACCTCGGTTGTAATGACCGTTGCCCGTTGGATATTTTCTCTTTTTCGGACCATTCTCTGTGAACCCTAGAGATGGTTGTGCGTAAAAAAACTGTAGATTCGCAATTTCTAAAATACTCAGACCAGCACATCTGGCACCAAGTGGCTTAAATCACCTTTCTTCCACATTCTGATGCTCGGTTTGAACTGCAGCTGGTTGCCTTGGCCATGTCTACATGCCTATATGCATTGGGTTGCTGCCATGTGATTGGCTGATTAGAAATTTGCATTAACGCAGTTGGATAGGTGTACCTAATAAAATGGTTGGTGAGTGCATATCATAGCAGGTTAATAAAAGTCAAATTGTCATTTACAGTTAGTATTCTAAAACACTTTTACTCCGTCTCTCTGCAGATCCTTCTTTTGTGTATGAAATTAAGATTCTGGCTTTTAACCAGCATGGAGAAGGCAATGCCACCCTGCGCTTTGTCTCACTGAAGGAAGCAGTGGAGAAATCAGGTGCCTGATGCAATGCATTAGTTCACGTCCACACATGCAAGCGCACTGTAATAGCTCAGTCGCATTTACTCTGTGGAAATGTGCTTTCTCTTCCTGCAGTGCTAAACACCCCTTGCGACTGTGTAAAGGACGAACAGAATAAAAGCTCCACCACAGGCATCATCATCGGCATCCACATAGGAGTCACTTGCATCATTTTCTGTGTCCTATTCCTCATGTTCAGCTACAGGGGCAGGTGAGAAATCGATGTTTACCACTGGTGTTGTTTTTGTATGCTGCAGTTTCAGTAGGCGTTGGAAAAGAAAGAGTATTGCTTACAGTAAAAGTCGATGTGTTTCTTGGATGCACTGTTGAATTGTTCTGTTGTTGCAGGTTGATGATGTGTAAAACCGTGCAGGCATCCAGACAGGCGGGCAGGAACCCAGCAGCAGGAGTCGTGCTGGAGTCCTCCTCCTCACAGGGGGCTCTCAGCGGCCCCCACAGGTTCAGCCCAGATGGGAATGGAGGAGCGCACAATGCAAAGAGCTGTACCGACTCCAACGAGATGGAGAGACTCTTCTCAGGACCATCCCACTACTCCCATCCACCTGACACCACCCACACAGTGAGCCTTGGGGGGGAAATGCATGCATTTATAAACATGTGGATTGCATGGTTATGGTTCTTCTCAGAGGACAACTTTATGAGTGCAAGTAATAGAGGTGCTTCTGCCTGCGTGTATTGAACGGGATCAAAGAAAAACTACTTGAGCTCTGATGAATAAGGTTGGGTATTGAGATGATATGTGCATTTCGATTCTGCATAGAAAATGCGTCTCATATTTCTGTGCAAAGCAGGGCTATCCAATGTTATTGATACAGTAGAGTGATGAAGAAACATGTATTGAACATAAAGCATGTGATGTGCTTAATGGTAAAAATATATCTCTCTGACAGCAAATGATGTAGCTTACTGCTTCTGAATGGTCAGAAAGACACCAAATAACATCTGAATGCCTGCCTTGGCAATTTTTGATGATCAGTAGGGCCAGACAGAATGTGTGGACATTTTTTTGCTATTTCTGCTAAGGATTTTGTTGCAGATTTGCAGCAGATTTATGCAGAATGGTTTTGGACGTATCACAACTTAAAACTTAATATATGAAGTAAACAAAATAATAGCTTTTTAACTTTTATTTAATGTTTACAATGCAAATCCATCTAGAGTCACTTATTTGGTAAACAAAGCAAGCCTCTCATAATATATCTCCTAAAAGACATAAAATATTACTTAATTAATATTACTACAAGCTGTATTGTGAATAAAACAAATGAACACTTTCATATTAGTTAATATTATTACAAAATTAATATTAGTCTAAATTAATTTAAAAGCCTGAATGAATATAAACTTACACACATTTACACAAGTAAATAAATAGATTCGATGATGGGCTGGAAATCTGCAGAATTCTGCACATGCAGATTCCGTGTTTGCCTATTGATCAGTCATAAATTCATTGGATGTTAATCAGTAAATTAGATGTGTATCAGCAAATTTAATCCATGCATTGGGACTAAAGGTGACAGTAGGCTAATAAACGCAATGATGGTGTTGTTTTCGATAGAGGTCTTCTAGGCCCTAAAATCTATATCCAAATCACTTCTTTTGTCCAAATCACTTTGTATTAGGTGATGTCATTTCAGATCATTCTTTGGTTTGCTTTGAAGTATATTGGGTCTTTAATAATGCTTGAGTTTCATAGTGCTGTATTATTATTGTAATTAATGATTACTGTAACCTCAATGAATCCTATAATTGAAGAGTTTAGATGCAAAAACCTCTAAATGCCATCTGAAATTTTCTTCAAAACTGAGCATTTTTATCATGCTCCTGTGTGTAGGTTCAATAATATCACTTTCATGCCAAAGAGTGTGGTCTTTTCATGGTCTTTACAATGAAATTACTCAACATAAACATAGAAATCTGAGAAAATGCTAATTTTCGATGCAAATTTCAGATGGCACTTAGAGGTTTTTAAATCTGAACTCTTCAATTGGTCTTAACCAGTCCATATACCATACCTGACTCCTATCAAAATAGTACCCATCAAAATTTTAGACCAAACTCAATTGGATCCCAGGTCTTAAAAAATCGGTCCAAGTAGACCTGTGAAAACCTCTAGTCCCTTATGTTAATCAGAAAACCAAAAGACTCTTACTGTTTGCTTGTGACTGAAAAGCTTAATAAGATTCCATCCAAGTTTTATTCAAAGTTAAATTTATGCTGCGTGTTGTTTTTAAGTTTGATTATTTAATCATTCTAGGGCAAGAGTATTTTTTGTATAAAGGGCCAAAAACCAAATATCATTGAGTCGTCGGCCGAAGATAAATATACCAAACTATTTTACATTAAAGTCGCCATGGGTAATATATTTAAAGTTAAATAAATAAAAACTATTTAACTTTTTAAATGATAACTTATTTCAATACAAACACAATCACATTTATTACACAGTAGAGTTCAGTGCTGAATACACTAGTTAAGCAGAATCTGCCTTTGACCTGATTTGCTCACCAAAGTCTCTGCATTGTCGAGTGACAGCATGTACTTTAAACAAATCAGATTCATTTACACCATTTAATTAAAACATTTATTTTCAATTAGCTTTTAACAATAAAACAAAGGGTTACATTTAATTAAAATTGACAATCTCAGAATTACCTTCATTCTCCCTCTCTTTTCAGATGGGATGATGGGCCAAATCAAAGATTACCATGGGCCAACTTTGGCCCATTGGCCCTAGTTTGTGCATCTCTGTTCTATGGCCATATTACTTAATTAAATGTTACTGTAATGATTATAAACATATTTTATCCTAGAAGAAGAACTTCTATACATTTACCATGTATTTAAACATATTTGTATTTGTCTGTATTTAATTCCAGATCGAGAGCTCTCTGGTCTCCTGTCCACTGAATGAAACTGAAATGTCTACTCTTCCCCTGGATGATTTCAGTCTGGCGGAGGAGTGCGAGTTGCAGTTCTGCCGGCATCCAGCAGAGGGCCAGCGGGATGAAGACTGAAAAAAAAATTACGAAGGCCAAGAATATCCTCCACTCAGACTCCTGTCCAACTCAGGTCAACTGAAAGTATTCATCTTTTTTTTTTTGTTTTGTTTTTATTGTGCAAAGAGTATATTATTCATAAGTTAAGTTCCCTTGTGGGAATCACTGGACTGTATGCCGAAGGTCCCTCTGGCCTCAAAGTGGGTGAAGTTCTGAGATGGACTACTGTTATTTCTCATTGGTAGGTGAACGAATACACTCTTACATTGACAACTGGCAGCAAGTCTTCAGTCACTTGTGTCAGTAAGAAGTTTATCTGGGCTTCTTCCGGACGTATTTCTAACTGTTACCACCAATTAGTTCTGCTGTTACCTACCAATGATTTCACAAGACCACCCAGCGGAGTCCAAGACCTTCTTCCAGGGATTTAAAATTATTCTCAGGATTTTTCTTGATTTTACTGATTTCAATGTTTTAGTTTTTTTATTTTATTAGGTTTCGGTCTTCATAAAGACTTTAGACTCTGCTATGTGAACCCTAGAATTTGCAACAAAAAATACCTACCTCAGCTGGATTGAATGTCTTTTAGGAAGTCTTTGAGATCTGCATCATGCTGTTTGTTCTGTTTTTATACACATCAAGCATTCAGTCAAAAGAGAAAAGGTGCTCCTCTACCTCAGATTTCAAGGACTGCCGCTCTCCTGCTTGCCGAAGCAAAACGAGAAAAAAAATCCAACATATAGCACTTCCAAATGTTGAAGTCAATGTTCTACCTCAAAATAACAATGTTGTTATTGTCGTTGTGGTTCTTTTTTCATATTGAAACATAGCCTCTGTTTGTGAGATCCTGGCTTCACTATGTTGATGAATTGCTGTGTTTTGATATGTCAGTACCTCATGCCAGTTGACAGATGACATTGTTCTAAGAATTCTGCTTGTAAAGATGTTTTGATAGTGTCCTTGTATTTGCGTAGGATTTTTTATGTTCTATGTTTCCAGATCAGAGTATTTTTATTTTAATGGTAGTCGACGCAGTAAAATGGACTTTTTAAGATGAACTGCACTGTTACTAATTTCTTCAGGATATAACTTCTGCTCTCAGATGAACCGCTGGAAGAAAGAGAGGCCACCATATGTAAAGCTGGATAGAAACATAAATTGCTGTTTAGGTAATTGAATAGATTAACACCACGTTTTGCATGTCGTGCGACATACATAACAAGAATAAGCACATAATACTGTTCTGTGGGTGCTGATCGAAGTAAATAGTGATATAGATTAGATCAGTGTTTCTCAACCTCATTCCTGAAGGACCACAGGTTTTGGATGTCTCCTTTGTCTGTCACACCCATTACAGGTCTTTCAGTCTCTGCTAATGAGCTGATGATCTGATTCAGGAGTGTTTGGTTAAGGAGACATGGAATTTGTGCAGAGCTGGTGGTCCTCCAGGATCATGGTTGAGAAGCATTTGATTAGATAAATATATATCACGTTGTGACATTGCGTGCGGAATTGATATAGAATTTTCCTGGGTTTTAACTACAGGACTTGTGATCAAATGCAAGCACTCTTAGATACCGTTAAGGCTGTTCAGATACTTTGTTGCATGTAATGAAGCGAGCACCTATGAAATAAAGAGGCTGGGCATTCTAGAACTCTCCAAGAAGTGAACATTCCATTGGAAGCCACATTCCACTGGAGATTCTAACGGCTTCTATGTTGAATTCCATCTCTTTTTTAGTTAATATCCCAAGCCCCTTGTCCATATTTTTAGTCCCACGTTGATCAGGGAGCACAGAGTATATCAGGCACACGCGCAGAACTCGTGCGCACACACAACATCTGTTGGCATTAAGACAGTGAGTAGATGATGATGATGATGATGCCTGAGCTACTAATGGTCATCTCTTCATATCTCTGGCCGGCTATTGAATTGCTTTTCGATAGCTTTTCACTGTGCTCAGCCACCCAATCCTAGACCAGCTGTTCCTTTAAGCGGGGAGGGAGAGTTGAAAGTACCAGCAAGATGTTCTTTCTCCTCTGGTGTCCCATAGTACTATGGTGCATATCTATATTTTTTTAATAACCTACCTCGACACAGCAGTCATGCTCTCAGGTCGCTCCTGCTATGATGGGGAGATTGTATCCTTTTTGTATAGTAAACACATGCACACGTACATTCACACATACCCTTTAGTGGATGAGTGTGTTACATTAGCTTTTCACGCTTTTTTGTTAGTGTAAAATGTTATTTTTAATTATCAAACTGTTCTTTTTGCTTTATTTTTCCCAGGACGTCATAGGTTTTCATTTTAGTTCCTATTCTTAAAATCGAATTATCGCCATCGGTGTAGATAATGAGTCAAATTAGCATATTTTCATAATGCCCGCAAATTCTGTAATCGATTATTTTGTAAGAAAAAATGGACAAAGCAAAGCCTAGATAATCAACAAAAAAAATCCCATTCTTATAATGTGTATTCTTACAAATACTGGTTCTGGAACAGAATTGCACAGTTTAGAAAAGACTCTGTATATTTATTGTACCCAATGCATTGTAGTATTGTCAGTGGAGACCATAGATGCTTTTGTGTTGTCCGTATACAGATAAGTGCTCAGTTCTTTGGCTGTGTTAAATAGAATTAATGGAAAAAGTGTCTGAACAACAGAAGGTATGTGATACACTGTGCTGTAGAAACGTGTCCCTAATAATGAAAGTCTCTATGAAATGTCTATATTGTACAGTTATGGTGCTCTTGACATTCTTGTAATAAGATGAAATGGTTTCATCTGTGGTGTAATGCAGTACAAACAATGCTGTTACATTTCCAAGAGTCTCCCGCAGTTGCATTTCCTGATGGATTTGGCCTTGTTTGGTGACGTTTCTAATCTCACTGTGTGTCGGTGCAAATCAGTACAACTTTTGAAACGTTAATATCATCATCAGGCCTCATGTTCAAATATTAATTAGAGTGGCTGTCTTGATTTGGTTGAATTCTGGAGGATGTGTGATGACAAAAACAAAAAGAGTTTATCAGATCATGTCAGCTTTATCTTTTCTACCTCAGAGCGATCTCATGATCCCGTCTTTTGTTCTGATGGATAATCTCCTCTCAGACTTTTAGAGAAGTTTTTTGTGCATTTCAAATACTGTTTCGCATACAGTACGTTGACTTTTTGATGATATGTTCATGCTGAAAAGTCTGTTACTGTGACAAAGATCCACAGGCTTCCTGGTCTGCTTGTCTTGCTTTGTTTTCATTCAATATTTAATATCGTTTCTGGCTTGAATCCATAAATCCAAGAACAAAAGATGTTTCCAGCCTCTAGAACACACATTGTACATGTAAACATACATGCGCACACACACGCGCACAGTCACATCCCTGTAAAGAATGACATGTTTGTGTCAGCATTAGTCCCGTGTCCCAGATTTCCCCTGGGAGACTCAGGGATGAGGCATTTGCATGCTCTATGGCAACACACCGACCTATTCAAAGCAGCAGAAAGACCTGCAAACTTTCAATCTGTAAAACAAACAGCATTTTGTACTGGATAATATGTACCAGTTTCAGTTTGTTAAGGTCCTTTCAGGAGCGGGATTATATGGGAGTGCGCTTTTGGTGAAGCGACCCATTGCAGCCCAACAGAGGGGAATTTATGTGCTTGCTTTCAGTTTTACACACACACAGAGAGTTCATTTTGTGCGTTTGATGGAACAGATATCCAAAATGTTGTCTAAGGGTTTGTTCACACTTGTTTAAATTGGTTATTTTTCATTTGGACCAAAAATGAACTTGGGCTAAAATGAGCTTGGGATACTTCACGCAAAGAATATATATATATTTCCTCACCCTTAAGCTGTTCGAAATCTTGATGAGTTTCTTTCTTCTGAGTTCTTTTCTTCTACAAAACAAGATATTTTGAGGAAAGCTGAAAACCTGTAATCACTGACTTCCATAGTGGGAAAAACAACATACTATTTAAGTCAATGGGTACAGACTTTCAGCTTTCTACAAAATATCTTGGTCTGCGAAGATAGCTTGAGTGAACTGTCCCTTTTAATTGTTCTTTTTTTTATTTACAAATGAACTTACCAAACTTCAGAGACAGTGCTGTGTGCGTAGTGTGATGGTATTTTTTTATCATTTGAGAACTTATAAAATATGTAGAGGAGTCCAAACAGTGGCAGAAATTATTCATCACATATGCAAAGAGGATTATACTTGCCCAAGAATTCATGAGAATCAATTGAACTCTCTGTCCTTTTTAGGGTCATCTTGAGACAATGTTTTTAATTTATTTAGATCCCTTTTGCTGTATGTTGGATACCTGTTTCAGTTAAATCACTGTAAGGAAAAGATTTAAGCCCCTCTTTTTAGTGGTCTTAGTTGTCCATCCACTGTTTGGTACAGATCAGGACTAGCATAGCTCACATTTATTAAAATAAACCAAGTATTTAATCTAAGTTTGTTTTAGTTTAACAAAACCTCCCAGGTGTGAATACATGCTAAATGCATTGGTCAGACTCTAGCGTAAGGTTCCATTAGTGCATGTTAGTTATTAATGTATTTACTATCTTGAACTAATAATGAACAATACTTGTTATTAAACATAGTGATTTAAATCTAAAGTTGTCTTTGTTAATGTTAGTTAATCCGCTGATTTAACAAACACTGTATTTTAATGTGTATTAACTAATGTTAACAAAGACAAATAAATGCTGTAATAAATGTATTCTTCATTCATTGTTCATATTAGTACATTTACTAATACAACCTTTTGGTAAAACGTTACAAATGATTTTGCTCATGACAGTCTTTAGAATGATTGTATTTCTGAATTTATCACATGAAAATCTGGTGCTGTGATGATATCTGTTACCATTAGTAAAATCTTGTAATACTGCACTGTTCATAAAATAAATGGAAGTGTGTTTACGTGAAACTCTTAAAATGGAAGCAGAAAAGTGATCTGTGGGATTTTAAAAACAATGTTTCATATTCTGAAGGCTAATTGACTTGAAGAACAGACATGTTTTCTTTAGTTGAACACCGGAGAACTCTGTTCTGTGTGCAGTTTGGCACATTGACTGATGCTAATGCTATTGTCCTTTTCTTATCAAGTGTGACGTATCTGAAATATTTATTTAGTGTGCCTCCCACTTGACTTTTGGGCTTCTATACTAAGTTTATTACTATATTAGTTTACCCTGTTTGTTTTTTACACTCCCAGTGTGATGGTGTGGTAATTGACTGCATGACACAGATGAAGTCCATAGACCTTAAAGGAACAGTTCACCCAAAAATCATTCTTTTAACCATTGCTTCACTTGTTCAAAACCTCTTTGAGGTGTTCTCTTTTTTTTTTTTTTTTGGTTAAACACAAAACAAGATATTGTAAAGAATGTTGGAAACCTGCAACCACTGTCCTCCATAGAATATTTTGTTTTCAACAAAAGAAAGGAACTCCTAAAGGTTTGAAACCACATGATGGTGAATACATTTTAATTTTGGATGAGGCATCCCTTTCAAATACCCACAATATTCAAATCAGTTATTTTTGAAGTACTGAAGAATAAATGGTTTCTAATCACATTGATGGTTACAGTAAGGATACACTGTAAAAAAAAAAAAAAAAAAAAAACCTTTCTTGATTTTCTTCTTTACTCGAAATCGATTCTGTATTTCTATTTACATTTATGAATTGTATTGTGGGACCTTGATCTCTGCTCTACTGACTTTTGATGTTGTAAATTCAACTCTGCAGTTTACCTTTACTAAAGTTGTAGTTTTTATTGATAATATAGTGTATAATAAATAAAATATAAATTATTATGTCTGTAAAACAACAGAAAATGGACTGCCAGTTTATTATTTTACTGAGTTGTTGTATCATTATTTTCTACACCAAGCGCCAGACAGTATATCACTTTAAACTATTAAAAATGTTAATAAAAGTCACCTTTTTTAAACTTTTCATTATCAAAAGTATTTGGAGGAATGATCAAGGTCCCACAATGCAATTAAAAAGCATAAACAATGATAATATTAATAAAAACATGAATCACGAAATACAGAAAATGTTTAATTTATGGATATTTTAAACATGTAGTTAGCAAGCACAAAATTGAAGAGCGGAAAGCACTAAATTTCTTACATTTCTTGAATCAAAAATGACAACAAACAAGTCTAGTTTGCCTCGCTTAGGTTTCTAACTACATCTCATCTTATTTAAAACCGTTAAAGAGGCTGAGCATTCAGTTTTAGTAAAACTGTTGAATGTGAAGATGACCGTCACTCCTTTATAACTGTGTGCATGACTGAAGCACTGAAAATCTCTTAGCCGTGGTGCTATTACTGTCACTGCTGCAGGTCACAGGATGTTTGTAGTCTTTTCATGTTCAGACTGTTGTCATTCGGACCACAAAACACAAGTTCTTCATTTAAAAACACTTGGCAATTTGACAGACTGATTCACTGTTGAAAAGTGTTCTGTTCATTAAGGGAAATGAAGGGAATTATGCATTAATGTCTGTATTTGTGTATAGCTATTTAACCACCCTCAGAGCTGCATATGATTATGGAAATGTAACAGACTGTTCAAATGTGTACCTCTGTAATCTATGATACAAACTTTAATTCTGGAGCTCAGCGGGAGAAACAGACGAGACGGTAATGCCTGCGGACAAACTCCAGTAAGTGCTGGTGTTCTCCATTCTTACTGAAAAGGGGTCACTTTTGAGCAACCGAAGAGAGCACAAGAGCTGAGCAGGTGTGAGATGTTCAGTTTTCACCCTTCTGTTCTTCATGTAACTCATCTCTCTGTAATTCAGGTCTGGGTGAAATTACTGTTTCCGCTAAATGCGTTGGAGACACTGTTTCTGCCAGTTTGTCTTTTCCAAATGTGATGTCTGGCCACAGACGGTCAGTGCTGTGTATGTACATATGCATATATTTGTATGTGTATATGTATATTTATATAAAGAAAGAATACTAGACCGTTTTTAGTGGTTTGTATTGTTTTAGGGTTCCTTGTGAAACACTGTTTAAAAACGTCAATACAATGATGACAATAAACTAGTTTTAGTTTTAAAAATGATTCCTTTCTTTGTGTTTTGTCAATATTGAATACTTGCCTGCTATGTAGTATGCAAAAATACTTCACTGAAGCTGCATTCAAAATGGCATACAGCCAGTACAACTACTGTATATGTATATAAGTCATGTGGTATATGCAAATATCATCCATTTTATAGATGTACAGTATATATACAGGGCCCCTTTTGCCTTCAGAATTGCGTTGATCCTTCTTCGTGGCATAGATTTAACAAGGTATCAAACAGTTGCTGCAGATTTGTCGGCTGCACATCCATAATGCAATCTCCCGTTCCACTACATCCCAAAGATGCTCTATTGAATTTAATTCTGGTGACTGTTGGGATCGTTTGAGTACAGTGAACTCGTTGTCATGTTCAAGAAACCAGTCTGAGATGATTCGCGCTTTATGACATGGTGCGTTATCTTGCTGGAAGTAGCCATCCATGCTTTCATATTGTTGATGCCAAATTCTGATCCTACCATTTGAATGTTGCAGCAGAAATCGAGACTCATCAGACCAGGCAACATTTTTCCAATTTCAGTTTTCCAATTTTGTTGAGCCTGTGCAAATTGTAGCCTAAGTTTCCTGTTCTTAGTTGACAGGAGTGGCAGCCAGTGTGGTCTTCTGCTGCTGTAGCCCATCTGCCTCAAGGTTCGACATGTTGTGCGTTTAGAGATGCTCTTCTGCATGCCTCGGTTGTAACGAAAGGTTATTTGAGTTACTGTTTCTTTTCTATCAGCTCAAACCGGTCTGGCCATTCTCCTTAACAAGGCATTTGTGCCCTCAGAGCTGCCGCTCACTGGATATTTTCTCTTTTTCAGAGCATTCTCTATAAACACTAGAGATGGTTGTGCGTGACAAGTAGATCAGCAGTTTCTAAAATAATCAGACCAGCCAGTCTGGCACCAACAACCATGCCATGTTCAAAGTCACTTAAATCACCTTTCTTCCCCATTCTGATGCTCGTTTTGAACTGCAGCAGATCGTCTTAACCAGGGGTGACCAAACTCGGTCCTGGTGGGTTGGTGTCCTGTAAAGTTTAGTTCCAACCCTAATCAGACACACCTGGGCTGGCTAATCAAGCTCTTACTAAGCTTTCTAGAAACATCCTTGTAGGTTTGTTGAGGCTAGTTGGAGCTAAAATCTGCAGGACACCGGCCCTCCCGGAGTTTGGACACCCCTGGTCTTTACCATGTCAGCATGCCTAAATGCATGTTGCTGCCATGTGATTGGCTGATTAGAAATTTGTGTTAACAAGCAGGCAGACAGGTGTACCTAATAAAGTGCCCGGTGAGTGTATATCTATGTATATTACCGTTCAACTGTTTGGGTTTGGAAAACATTTTATAAAATTTGTTAACATTTAGTTAATCGCATGTAACGGCCAGAATTATGTAGGTTTACAGCATTAACCCTTGTTTAATGGAAGTTCATGAAAATGTTAGTTACTTCACAGTGCAATAACTAATGTAATATTTGGACCTTTAATATGTATAAATAAACGCTGAATTTAACATTAAGATTATTAAATACTGTAATATTTAGTTAATCTTCACTAAAGCCAACGAATTAATCCTATTTGTAAGCGGTTAATGTTATTTTTAAGTGTTACTAATAGTCCCTTTATTTAATCAAAAATGCAGTAAAATATTAATGTATGATATTTGCATCTATCTTTATTTGAATTTGTCAAATCTACTGTGCAACATTTCTTTCTTCATGTTCAAGATATTATGTTTCTCAGTATTTCTGTAAAAAAAAAAACTTTATTAAAGCATATTTATGACCTTATAAATAAGGACACTTAAAGCCATTCAAATCAGTTGAAACGCAACATGTTGCAAGAGTTTTGATATTTATTTTTTAGGATAAACCCCATGAGATGTACCATCTAATTTTCAATGGGGTCCCACAATTAATCACAATCACAAAATAATAATAACACCAGAAGGTAAAAGCGCAACATAAATTACACAACATCCAAAAGACACACTTTTTCAAATTTGTTTGTGTGTGTGCGTGTGTGAGGATGTGTGTGTGAATTTCCCTCGTCAGCTCTCTGGAATCTCTGACTAGCCGTGAGTTCAGTATATCACACATGGACTGATTACCCTGCATGTGGAAGTGCATGAATTATTCACCCACACACAGAGACGGAACAATTTATCAAAGTACACTTCCCAGTGATTGCGACTTTGTCATGCAATATCCTCGAATTAAAGCGCTGAGTTACTTAAGCATCCCTCTACTGTTTGGAAATGAATGTGTGATTCTTCATTGGTACAGTACGGTATGTTCATATTTTTCTCTGAGTGTTGTATATGAGAGTTGATGAGACTGCTTTATTTACAATCATTGCAGAAGCCTGGCGAATCTGATCAGAATCAGACTTGTGCAGGCAATGATTTATTTGGGCTCTGATTTAACTGTGAGGTCGTTTGTCAATAGCATTAATCATTAGTCATTAATGTGCCCGGCTTTCCTAACTAAAATAAATAATAACAGTCATACTTCTAATTACCCAGTTAAATTGTACATTTGACCTATATATATATATATATATATATATATATATATATATATATATATATATATATATATATATATATAATTTTTTATAAATATATTTTTAGTCATATATATTTTATTCCTTCCATCCTTCCTTCTTTTCTTTTTCTTTTTTCCTTTCTTTCCTTTTCTTTCTTCCTTCCTTTCCTTTTCTTTCCTTTCCTTCATTCTTTCCTTTTCCTTTATTTTCCTTTTATTCCTTCCTTTCCATCCTTCATTCCTCCCTTCTTCCCCTCCCTTCCTGTCCTTCCTTCCTTTTCGTTTCTTTTCTTTCCTTTATTTTTTCCTTCCTTCTTTTCCTTTCCTTTGCTTTTCTTTCTTTTATTCCTTCCTTCCATCCTTCCTTCTTTCCTTACCTTCCTTCATTTGTTCCTTCCTTTCCTTCCTTTCTTTCCTTCCTTCCATCCTTCCTTCCTACCTTTCATTTCATTTTCTTTCATTTCCTTTATTTCTTCCTTCCAGCCTTCCTTCTATTCCTTTCCTTTCTTCCTTCCTTCTTTTCCTTTTCTTCCTTTCCTTTTCCTCATTCCTTCCTTTTCCTTTGCTTTCCTTTCCCTTCTTTTCCTTTCATTCCTTCATTTCCTTTCCATCCTTCCTTTTTTCCCTTCTTCCTTTCCTTTCTTCATTATCTGTGCGCTGTAAATCAGAGGAAACTGAAGTTGTTTTCATGACTGGAGTTTCTGTTTGGTTAGACACAAACACTTGGACTGGCTGGATAAGCAGCGAAAGTCAACACCACAGACTCTACTCTTCTGACCAGATCCTCGAGACTCCTGCAGAAGAAGATCTGCTGCTGTTACACACACATTGATTGAACACGCACACACTTACTGTGAAGGTACTTATATTCTGTACACTGTTAAAACGTAAAGTTCCACACAATTTCTGTTACTACTAATTTAAGTGAATTGAACATAAAATAATAAAGTTGTCCCCTAAAAAAATTAAGAACTGTGTTTCATTCATTTATTTTATTTTCGGTTTAGTCCCTTTATTTATCAGGGCTCGTCACATGCAGCGAAATGAACCGCCGACTTATCCAGCATGTGTTTTATGCAGCGGATGCCCTTCCAGCCACATCGCAACACTGGGAAACACCCATACACTCTCATTCACACACAAATAGTATAAGGACAATTTAGCCTACCCAATTTACCAAATAACTTACCCAATTCACCTACAGCAGGGGCCACCCGTCTCGTTTACCATTCTGGAGGTCTGGTGCCCTGCATGGTTTAGCTCCAACTTGCCTCAACACAAGTTAGAGCTAACTTGTGTTGTTTCAAGTATACATTTTAAGACCTTGATTGGCTTGTTTAAGTGTGTTTGATTAGGGTTCAAGCTAAAATCTGCAGGACACCGGACCAGGTTCGGTGATCTCTGATCTAAAGTATAGCGCATATCCGGACTGTGGGGCAAACTGGAGCACCCTGAAGAAACCCACACAAACACGGGGAGAACATGCAAACTCCACACAGAAATGCCAACTTACCCAGCCGTGACTCGAACCAGCAACCTTCTTGCTGTGAGGCGATCATGCTAACCTCTGCACCACTGTGACACTGTGTTGTTTCAACTTACTTTAAATAAGTACATTTTAAATATTATTTTTAAGCAAGCAGCAAACAAAATGTCAGTGTAAATGCTTTCTTTTCTTATTTCTTTTTCGCTTGTTTCTTTCATTTTCTGTGTTCATGTTTCACTTTCCTTCATTTTTGTATTTTCTTTTGTTTCACTTTTTCCTTTTCTTGTTTTAATTTTCTAACAGAGACACACAGATGCCAGCAAGTTAATATTCAACAAATAACAACCGTAAACATTTAGACGCAGACAAACCAAAAACATTAAGTGTTCAGACATGTATATGTTTGTGTATTTGTGATAATAGCGTCCATTATGGATCGAGATGGCGAAATTACTGTATATGGATACGTTTGTGTGTGAAAACGTGCTGATTGTGGATGTGTGTGCTCAAATTACCTCAGGCTTTTATGGATAACTTAGGTAAGTGAATGTGTTTAATGTATAAGAGCAATGTTTATCACACAGTGACAAGTCACCTCATCACAACTTCAATCTTCCTTCAATTTTTAAAAATCTTTGGTCACACTTTATATTGATGATCCGTTTGTTTACTTTAAGTTACATTGCATTTACATGCTAGCTAATTCTCATTAGATTTTAAGAAGACTGTTAGGTTTGGGTTAGTGTAAGTTGACGTGCTTGCAAAGTTTCTTATAGTCAGTTAAATGTCTGTTAAAGGAGCAGTATCAGCAATTATTCATTCCTTTATTGATCATTTTTATTCTGCACTTCTTGTTTCACTTTCTTCTTTTTCATCACTATTTTATTTATTTTAGATTTTTTTTAAATTAAAAGTTTATTTGTAGAGCACATTTAATTACGACCTTTGGTTGACCAAGGCGCTGTAC